CAAACAATATATTCAGTAAAATTATTCGACAAATTGCATAAGCTTTGTTTCAATATCAAATTATTTGTATCGCTGTACGTACATTTTACACGAATATTCCTATTTCTGATATTCCCTGCGAAAGCACAATGTTAAATATTCCGACAACAAATGTTGTCATTGAAAACCTAACCTTTCCATCGTAGGTTAACTATGTACGAGGAAAGGTACTTAAACACGATTGACATATGTTCAGCATCTTAACGCTGTACTTATCATGCATGTGTATCATTTTATATTGAAAAGACAAGCATTTCTTTTCTAAATAGACTATTTACCCTTATTTGTGACATTTTTACTTATTGTTTTTGTTTGTTTTGTTCACACATCGTTGTCAATAATGGAATTTGATGAGACTTTCATACAAGTGAGAGGTTTGGCTAGCTTTAAAACCAGGATCAATCCACCATTTTCTACATAAGAAAATGCCTGTACCAAGTCAGGAATATGACAGTTGTTATCCATTCGTTTAATATGTTTGTTTTTTTGATTTTGCCATATGATTGGGGACTTTCCTTTTTGAATTTTCCTCGGAGTTCAGTATTTTTGTGATTTTACTTTTTTCTAACCAATAATATACTGAACCTTTTCAGACAATGAAATTACAGCTATGATTGATAATGAAACCCATGAAAAGCTTAGTAACATTTAAAATGTTTTTATCACGAATGTCATTTGTAATATGGTATTGTTTATGTTCACCACCAATTTGCTTTGTTATATTCAAACAAAAATTCTTAAAATATATATTTGATTTTCAATGAACATCTATAATTAAGACAGGCATTATGTAAATACTGTAAATATAATTATATAAATGTTTACTGAAATTGAAATTACTTAGAAATGAATTGTTATTGGAATTCCAACAGAAAAACTTGTCACGGTAATGTTATTTGAGCGTTCTTTTTGTCTTTAATTTTGATTTTTCTTAACGATAAGATTTACGCGAAATTAAAGGTTGCACTTCTGTAAATATAGACAATGCAATGTCCCATAGGAACTCCCTTTACGGCTAAAACTGTGCCACTTTTACTATGAAGTTTTGTATCATATAATGGAAAGTTATTTTATTCAAAGGTCAAAACATAGGGCTGTGCTGCATATTTTCAACATTTATATGCCCAAAACTTCTAAGAGTTTAAACTTATACCAAAATTCTGTACTACCGCTCCCTTCACTTTTGGTCTTCCTCAGAATTCAATTTTGCCGCTACGATGTGAATTTATACTGGCAACATTCTCAAGTTATATCTCTCCAAAAGAGGCGTGGTTTGTGAAACAGCTGTTTTTACAAAGTGCAACCTATATCTTCAGGGATCTTATCTTAATAGCGAAATGAGCGAAAATAAATCGCTGGCTAAGATTTTCAACTTGTAAGTATCGATATTTTTACGATATCATATCAAATAAAACATAATACGTTTACCACTATTATTTTAAAGTGTTGTCCTTACTACCAAACAAAAAGCAGACCGATATCTGCCTTTGTATAGTAGATAAAATAATATGATGTGGTATGTCTGCCGATGTGTCCAATTGAAGCGCCTGTTAGCAACTATATGTCAACGTACGGTTTTCATAATGAGCAATATCTCTAAACATATAACTTTTTTTTATTAACAGTTATTGTATCACCAGTGGTTTACGGTTATCTCGCAAGTGTTATAATTTGAACAAAAATTGCTAACCCTTCATGAACACATATGGCCTCCTCCACGGTCGGAATGTTTTTTTTTTTAAACGGTAAATAAACAGAATTATCATATAAACCATGTTTGAAAATTTGTCCGACAAACGCGCGTTTCGTATACACAAGATATGTTACGCTCGTACCAAAATATCTATTTTAACTGGTTTTATGTAAGCATGGTCATTAAGTGATTGATTTGATTGTTCTTCAGTAACATCAAACAAAAAACGTGTAAACTTTTTTTTTCTTTCTCTTTACAATCAGAAATGATAAAGAAAAACAAATTATGGTTGTATTGGAGACAGAATACTGCTATACTATTTATAGGAGAACTATAAATTGCGACTGTTACTGTGCGAAGAATTAAGATACCATCCGCATTAAGGTTACCCATCTTATCAAATACATTTTGATCAAGATAGTCGTTTAACACTCCTTTAGTTATCCTCTCTCAAAATTTGTATCCTCAATACCATGAATAAATTATAAAGGAATCTATTGATAAAAAGAGATTATTTAACCTTTCTCATATACATTTCACTTACCTACATTGTAGTCTAAAAAGACTTTAACAAAATTTCAAGCAACCCTCACTCGAATTAATTAAAGCTCATGCATTTTATGTCGACAAGCAATTATAAAATATCACATATTTTATTTTCGTTTAGCTGACCTTGGACCAATTGACTTTGCAATAGTGTTTCTCTATATTGTTTATGACTGTCTCAAAAGAAGATTATCATCGAATGATACTTGCCAAACCCAATTTAATAGGCGCCACTAGTGAGAGGAAACCGTTTTTTCCTTCAGAAATATCATTTTATATCCGTAGGTGTGGTGGTGTATTTTTCCATAAAAGAAGATATCGTAAATAAGGCAATGCAAAGTAGTTTATCTGCCGGATTGTGGCAGTTAACATGCACGATTAAAGCTTTTCACCAATAAATAATATACTGTTTTCGTCTGTAGAAACTTTACCGATAACGCAGGTGACAGTTTGTAGATAATTTTGATAACATTGCATTTAAAATGTAGATAAATAAATATCTAAAATAATAAATTGAGGCAAAAGTACAAACAAAATAACAACAAAGCATTTGTATGACACAAATACATAAGATATTTTCAAACGAATATGATCGTTTAAAATACCAAGCTCCTTTTGGAGTTCATGATTTTCCCTCAGTTTTCTTTTCACTACGATATGTATTTTCTTGATGGATTTAAAAGATTTTGACTTAATACTGCTAAATAATGTTGCCTTACATTATTTGTTTCATATCAAAACAATGTTCGATTTTAAAGAACATAAGTCTATTTTAAGTCAACAACCAATGCAAAAAACTAGTTGTGAATTAGTGTCTAAATAAAACAAAACATAGCTAGACTGACTTTCACGACAGCCATGAGTTGCTATCAATATTAACCAGATTATGAATTTCAACCATATGCATTACGGATATGAAGGGAAAAGATGCAATGTTGAAAAATATAAAAGGCAATAATCAGATAGAAGTTATAAGCTTGTCTCTATCAATGATGCATATAGACATGATTATAACTATAAAATTGTACATTTATCAAAAGAACGTGTGGTACCCTTCTTTGTTAGTCATTAACAAATGATGTGAAAGTAACGTTTTCGGTGTCGTGCTTAAATTAGTAAGCATTTTCAGCATTTGACAAACACATGGAATTTCCGAAATGTTTGTTGATATTAACGCAAAGAAATAAATACTAAAAGTAACACCCGGGCCTAAGTTGATTGAAATGGTAAAACACAGAATGTTGGTATCTTTTAGATGAAGAACAACATACATAAAATCCAAAGAATTTATTGTTTACAAATAATTGGAACATACTCTTTGTTTTACCTTAATATTGTTGAATACGTCACTCATACAAAATGAAAACAACACTTCATAAGTTTCGTCCATCTGAAGCGCTTTTCTTGATTATTGTTCATCAGGAACGCTGATATTTGATAGCCATGGATGTGTATGAACCGAAACATTTGAAGAGCTATATGACCAAAGAGGACCTAAATATATTAGCCGAATTAATATGAGGCCAACTTTACCTACAGAAGTTGAAACCTTAGTCTCTTAATTATTTGCAAATTTATAAACGGAAAATTTAGAAAGGTTTGTTATAATTCTACAGAGCTGATGATACTCTTGGACACTGATAGTCCACTAGCAGCGATATCAACTCAGTGCTGTACGAAATGAAAACAACACCTTGTTAATTCAGAAGTGGTTTTCTGGACTTACTTTTATCAGGAACCCTCAACGCTGAATATTTGAAAGACAATGATATAAAAGAACCGATCCATTTGCACAGTTATATAACCAAAGAGGACCTTAATTCTGATGACATATAGTTTATAGGGTCGTATGTTATATAATACGGCTTATTGTCTCTTTTGTGAACATTTGTATTATACCAAGGATCGACGGAAGAATAAACATTTTGATATTTGAAGTTTTGCCATCTAGCAAAGACGTGGGTGAATTCATCTGGCTTCGGAGACAGTTTCTTCTTTTTCTTCTAGTTGCATTCAAAGTTTTTTATGCATTAATACGGTTGACAAAATCCTCAACACCTTTATTCCACTATACGATGTGTTGTTCGTTTGTTTTTCTGTTTTATATGTTAACAATTTGCTACCGCACGTTATGCATTCAGCAATAGAACCCAATCGACCGTGAGATGATTTCGGGAGATTTTTATGAAAGTTTTATGCTTCTGCTTTTTGTTTTCTTTCTAGGAAATGGCAATATCTTTGTTTAAGCGTCCTAAGCTTTTGTTCTTGATTATAGTTTTTGTAAGTTCGTCGAAAAATATAAATCACCAAAACCAAAAAAGTGCATAATTTTGTATAATAATGTTTGTTTTGTTCACGCATCGATGTCAATATATTGGAATTTGATACGATAGTCATACAAGTGAGAGGTCTAGCTAGCTATCAAACCATGTTCAATCCACCATTTTCTACATAAGAAAATGCGTGTACCAAGTCAGGAATATGACAGTTGTTATCCATTCGTTTGATGTGTTTTAGCTTTTGGTTTTGCCATTTGATAAATGACTTTCCTTTTTGAATTTTCCTCGGAGTTCAGTATTTTTGTAATTTTACTTTTAACACATGTTTTGCATTGTTTGAATGGCACCAACTATCTCCTCATTTTTAAAGTATAACGTCAATACAAATCTAACTTTTATTTATCAAAATGAATTTACTATTTTAGCAGGAAACACTCGTTAATTTAACCATTTCTTTTGACACATCATATTGAAGACGGTTATTTATTATACATGTTAAACAATAGGCCATTAAATGTTCAATTATAAAAAAAAAAAACACCCAAAACCCAAGACTTTATAGAAGTTTTTTAACCATATCATGCCAACATGGAGCTACTTTGGGCTATCATCGATTGTCGTTTTGAAAAAAGAATACTGTCAGTTGTAATAGTGTTGAATTCCATATCCTCACAAAACATTATGTTCTGTTATGTTCTCTACCATCTTTGAAAAAATTAAAAAGACATGTAAATATTGATGCATGCAGAGATTGATATACAATTACCTATTGAAACTGATATTTAGATTTATCATCAAAATGCAAAACACAACCTTTTCCGACAGATTAGAATGAAACAGCTGCATCAAATCCAAATATATTATGTCTTGACACATTTAACGTCCATGGTTTAAATTCGTATAAAATTGAGAAAACTCAGAAATGATTTTTTACAGCGAAATATTGTTCGAAAGGAATGAGATTAAAAGTTGTTAAATGAAGGTTTATGGTCTAATTACATATAGAAGAATGTAACGAATACGAAATCGCAGAAAAGTATGGTTTAAATAAATATAGTTGTGATAACAAATAAATGCAGCGAATTAGCACTTAAATTGTAAAATGTAGTAAAATATGAAATATTTAGCCACATAGATATGAGTAAATATTGATAAATTAGCTCAAAGTGTAATTAAAATTTAATAAATATCTTAAGTATTTAAGAACAATGTAATAAAGCCTCTTCTTCATTCAATGCCTTGTAATACCCAAACATGTGGGGGGAAATTAACGAAAAAGATTAAATTTTATATATATAGATGCTTTTTGATGTTATAATTGCACAATAAATATACACAGGCAAATTTTGCTCAGGTGAATTTCGCATGAATCTCAGGTGACATTCACCTATCAGTTGACGTGCATTTTTCGTGAGTTTTACATAAGATTCACAAAAAAACTCATCTGAAATCAGTTCACATGAGATTCATGTTTAAGCTCGTTTGAGGTGAAATTCATATATATTCACATGAATTTAAATTCATGTGCAATTAACTTGAGTGAAATTTTACTGTGTATATATCTCTAAATTCATATCATTTTATCACGAAGCCTTTCTTAATAACATTAATCAAGAGTAAATCAGTTACATGTTGTTAAACCTTTCCAAAACTGTGGTTTTGCAACTAAAGTAAGATTCCGGAGAATTACTAAAACACGTATGTCTAGAATTACTTGTCACAATGTGTTCCTCTTAATTACATTTTAGGAATTTGCAGTAGAGTATGATATACCTGTGTTCTTCAACAAATGTATTTTGTTTGATTTCAGATCTTTAGTTTTCACAAAAAATCGTGCTTTCCGCAAACATTATTACTTATGTTTCGTTAATACCGTTTCGCTTACATATGATGCCATGTCAACTGCTATAACTCATCTAGACGATTTTAAGTTCCCCTCTATACGTCTTTTCTGTACTTTATATTTCTACCTAATCGACGTATACTCACATTTTTTATTTATTCATAATAAAATAACGAGCAGCCTTATATCTGTCAACATTCTCAGACTTCTCAAACTTGCTTTGTGCAGGTGTGTATGTGTGTGTATATTGGTTGTGTTATAACCATGCTAGTATTTGTGTTTATTCGACACATGGTCTTTGTTGTAGGTAGGAACACTACTAAGAAGAAGGTTTACTATAAAAATAAGTTTAATGATCACTTACCAAATATTTAAAAAAAATGTATTCATCTCTTACTCTGCTTTTTAGAAATTGTACATCCTGTAAGCAACATGTGATATATGTTAGTCGATGTATAATTCTCTTTTAGACGTGTGTTTGTCAATTTTGCACTGTGACTGATTAGTTGACGAAATGTAACAATAATGTATTATACATTATGAAGATTTACAAAATAAGCAGCATTACTTGCATTATAAAATTGGTTTTTGTTTAGGTTAAGCATGCGCTAAAAATTCATACGATCACTTTTTAAAACAATAGATATCTAAATTTTGCTTTGAATACGCATTACCAGTACTTTCTCTTAAATCTAGGGTTGTTTTCATGCCAGAAAATTCAGGACCTACTAATTGTGTGTGAGCAAGTTATATTCTTTTAGTGTATTATCAGACACAATATGATGTTTTTATTAATGTTTTGTTAGTTGCATATTAATGAATGTGTCTTTAGATAGTTAAACTTAATCATGATTAATCTATATTGAATTGTTTACATAATTCTCTGTCAAGTCTTTTTAGATAATATCAATTGAAATCGACTGAAATTAATTTATTAGAATAATAATACAAATTCATATTTATTTTTTAAAAACAAATCGCCTAAACGAAGGCAATTTAAAAAAAAACATGTTTTTTGTTGTAAGGTAATTGTATTTATTGTTCCAATCTCATAACCTAGCAAATATCATTTTACCACTGTTATACATTATAGTTACATAAAAGAAGATAACAAAATGTACAAAACTTTAATATAAAAGGAGGTTTCTTACCAGTTTCTATCTTGTCAATCAACTCAATAACAGCACGTGTTTGGATATTATGTGCAACATTTTTTAATTGAATAAGCATTTCATGATGTGATAGTTTTTTGCTGTGAACATTTCTCCACAGTATAAGCGCTTCAAAGGCTTGCGTTAAAAGGTCACTACAATAGTCTCGTTCTATCATTACAACATCGGTGTACTTCATTCCCAAATCAAGAAAAGCTGTTCGCCAATCTTTCGACAACCAATACGCTATTTCCTTTAATTTCTTGTCTGTTAATAGTTCTGAAAAGAATAGTTAATATACATACATATGAAATTATAGCACCGTCATATTCTCTAAAATAAAAGGAGAGAGGAGAATACAAATTACAAATGAATAGTTTCATTTCAGATCGTTCCATTCAGTCCATCTGAATTCAACTCAATCGGAGAAACTGTTTAAATATAAACCAATATTTAAGACAGGATTCAGTAGTTGTCGTCTGATGCTGTCTGTCACATGTTTTTCGATTAATAATTATCAAAAACATGGCCGTTGATTCTTTTTAATTATTTCATATAGGTAAAAACTTCTAAAATTTTGGGTCCTCAATGCTCTTCAAATTCGTATTTTTTTGGCCGTGTCAACATTTTTTATTCAAGAGTCACTGCTGAGTCTTTTATAGACGATAGGCGCGTCTAGCGTATAATATTTTAATCCTGGTATGTATGATGAGTTTTTGTCATATCGTGACCTTCCATAGTTGACCTTACATTATGCGTTCAGTCATTCTAGAAAGCCGTACGGTGACCTATCTTTGCCTAAATCCGCTTCATTTGGACTTTGTTGGATAGCTGTTTCATTTGCAATCATACAACATCTCCTAATAATGGCTCATAAAGATAACTATGTTTGTTGTCTTAACCGTTACAAAGTTTAATATACACGATGCATTTTATTTCATTAATATTACCTCTCATTTGTTGCTTAGTATGTTTGTACATGGCGTAACCAGTGTAAAAGATTGTTGTAGAATTAAATTATAGATCTTTATCATTCATATACGAAAACAAATATCGATACATATTGCGTCCGAAGCGCTATCCGTTGGATTTACATTAATAAGGAAAGATTTAACCCACACATTTGAAATCAAGGAATGATAATGTCTTAATACATAGAATCGTTTTGAGCTATATTGTCAAAATGGATGGGGAAAAGAATAGCAAAATTCCTTATTATCAATTATTTCAATTTATCACCGGATAATTTTAGAATATATCTATGTTTATACTTTCGAGGATTTTATTTAATATTTTAATTTGATAGATGGTGTTTAAAACAATGTTATCTTAGTGTCATATGAAACGACATTGTTGTGATAATAATGTTAAGGAAATTATTGAACCAATATATGCATATAAACGTAACTATGTCTTTCATGTACGTTTTGTTTACATTTATTACAAACCAATAACGTGTAATCGACAGCAAATATTTCATTCAGTAATTGTTGAACACCAATAATTTTTAGATTTGTTACTGAAGTTTACCAGTAAGGGACCTTGATAAACACTCAACACAAAATGTTGGAGCAAGTGGAATTTAAATGAGTTGATATAGCGATATTTATTTTTTTTTTTATTTTCCATGCGTTACCATTCGATAATTCATCTCTTCCATGACAGCTGTTAAATGATTTGGTGTATTAAGTCATTCTTTCAGAATCAAATAACACAATTAACCTTCCAGTGCATATTTGTTAAACAAAAAATTTAATCGCGGTTTTCCCTCGCTTTTACGTTATGTGGTTGCACGAGTTCTACGAGAGATCTGGAGGTTAAGGTCACTGCATACGACGAATCTTTCGACGAATTAAAGTACGTGAAAAACAATAATTCAATAGCAGAACATTACTGAAGATGTTGATAAGAGAAAAAGATTTTCATTTACACATAAGTCCATGTAAACTTGCTTTATAGACATTTATGATACATGTATAAAACATGTTTTTTTTATTTGAAGTTATTTTCATATGACTCTCACAAAATATAATATTTAATGTAAATTGATGACCTGAACTTATTAAATCCAATTATGATTTCCTTGAAAGCATCGTTCAAACTATATGCTTTTATCACGAACATGCAATGATCTGGTAATCAGATTTTCCCAATATATATATATATATATATACATGTAATTTGTAATGTCAGCTACTTGACATAATATAAATCCTTTCTGAATTTGTTCAATGTACTCACTCGATTCTATATTGGTTTTCATCAGATATTTTACACTTTCAATATGCAGAAGATCTGATCGATATATTTACTTTTTACTTATTACAAACGAATTAGCTGACGTCTGTGTTGGATGCAAATGTGCACATTTGAACCAATGCTTTGGGAATAAGTTTTTGTTTTAAATCTGGCAGCTGAGTTAATTCAAACAACTGTATTTGCTTGTCTTGTTTAGTTTTCCTTCTACGGTATATGTGTTTAAATTGAAAAAGAATGTACCTTTCAATACTGATTCGATTAAATCAACAATATCTTGTCTGTCAATTGAAAACGATGCCTGTTTCAGTCGATCTACCCTTTTAAGGGCTGATTCTTTTGACGTCTTAGAATCTCTCCATGATATCAGCCCTTCAAAAGCTTGTCGGTGAATATCTTTATTATAATTTCCTTCTATTAACTGCATTTGATTATGTTTCATGTCTAAATGAAGAAGCAGTTTTTTCCAATCTGAACCCAATTCATGTGCTATTTTGTTTAAAACTCTGTCAGTTAACATCACTGAAAAAAAGTTCTATTATACATTTTTTGGAAATTTGACAGTAGTCAACAAAAATTGAAGAAAAATGATAAAAAAACGTAAATATACAAATGTACAAACCAAATCAAATCCCCCTCAAAGTTAAAAAAAAAAATATTGGAAAAACAGAAAGGAAAACAAAATTGCTATGTATGTGTTACTATATCATTCTGGAACTATATTGTTTGATATACATTAATATAGTTTCAGCTGAATATTATACTAGTCTAGAGTCTGTATACCGTTTAATAGGAACAGATTTGTTCATAAATATTTTGAGCTAACGTTTGCATTCACATTTCTATCGTATTACTTACATTGCGCACGATCAGAGGTATTACAGGATGAATATTTACATCGTAGTTCAACATGAAGCTCTGCAGTTCAAAACAGAAAAAGAAAAGTTGCAGTTATCAAGTGTTAAATTAAACTCAATCCAAACATTTACAAATATGTTTTTTATTAAATGTGTCAACTCTTTACAGCAGGTTTTTGAATATTATTTTATAGAAACTGATCTGTTTAATTAATGTCATTATAGTTTTACCAAAATGGGCTCTAGTATTATTTCTTAATTCCATATTTCCTCAGCATTGTTGTATTCGAAATCTATAGTTTACCTATATCAAATTGTTTGTTTATCTGTCCATGATTGTATTTATCTCCTACATGTATATATTTATACATGTATGCATTTTTTTCTGATATAGTTCCAAAATGTTTGCCAAGGTAGAAATCGGTTGTATATGACAATGACTTATACTCTTCCTGTAATATATGTGCTACATCTAGGTTTATTTGAATTACTTTGTAGATTAGATACATGTTTGCTTTGAATTACGGAAGACTTAAATAGCATAATTATTTCAAAAGGAAGACAAAACGAGTCGAAAGGGGTAACTATCTATTTGATTCTACGAAACATGAATTAAGTTCTAAAATATAACTTCTTCTTCCGTTAACACCCATATATCACAACCACAGATAATATTCATAATAATAAATAACAAAAAAGAGTAAAGTGCAATACCACACGACAGAGCCGAGGGCTGGTTTAATGACAACCATTTAATAATATTTATCATTTACAGATAACGAATCATTTCGATAATGTCATATATATATATATATATATAGATTGCCTAACAATGTAATTTTAACACACTATTTAGTATGTAAATATAAGAATGTTTAAAATATTTACAAAATGATGAAAATAAACGCAATATTTCGCTAGACTAACTAGCTTTATCAAGCGTGCATCTATCCAGGTGAAATCGGATGTAGATGATAAGAAACTTTTGGAGCTCAATGTATATGTTGCACTTGAATTTAGCTGCCTTGAAAATAATACATAATTTGGATGAAGTTCAAGATTTTTACAAAATTGGTAGTTGAAGTTAGCAACGTCCATTGGCCAATATTACAGGATAAAAAGGACGATGCTGTGTACTAAATTATTCTTTATCTTTCCTGTATCTTTTCTCATCTTTTTCGTTAAGACCATCAGATTCTAAAGTGTAGAGTTGGTGGATCCAAAAATTTTCTCTTCTCCTTCTCGCCGTGGTGTCCCACTCGGTGTTGACTTCTATGATTTGGAAGGTAACATTATCAAAAGAATGTTTCGTTGAACGAAGATGTCTTGTGAGAGGACAGTTTTTTTTGGTTTTGTACCATGAACGATGGTTATTGAGCCGAATATTAAATTTGTCCATTGTTTCTCCCACATACTGAATGCCACATGTGTCACATGTTAATATATAAATTGAGTTCTCCGTTTTACAGTTGGAATTTGAGTAGATGGTATAATTTTGTTTAGTAACGGAGCTGATGAAAGAACTGATTGTATTGGCAGCTTTACAACACAAGCAGTTCCTTCGACCACATTGTTTGTAGCAACCGGGAGATGGAGTAGGCTGCCTTGCTAATACAGATGTCACTAATTTGTCACGGATGTTTTTAGGTCTTCTGAAGGCCATAACTGGTGGTGAGGAAAATACTTTTTTAAGATTTGAATCATTTTCTATAATTTTCCAATGCTTCTGAACAATGGAAGACACATTTTTAAAATCAGGATGGTAAGTGAGTACAAGGGGTGTTCTGTTAGCTGCTTTATTCTTATCTTTGTACTCTAGAAGTTCTTGGCGACTAGTTTTGTTTGCTCTTTCGAAAGCGCTATCAATGATGTTGTTATTGTATCCTCGAACAACTAGATGTTTACGTAGTTGTCCAAGTCTAGCATTTTGCGTATTTTCAGTAGAGCATATTCTCTTGATTCGCAATGCCTGGCTGAACGGGATGCCACGGGAGTAGTGTTTAGGATGGCAACTTTTAGGAGAAAGGAATTGATGTTTGTCCGTTTGTTTGGTATGAAGGTCCGTTATAATGGTTCCGTTCTTGATGTAACTCGTAGTGTCGAGGAAGTTTAATTTCTCCATAGATGATTCATATGTAAATTTTATTGAATGGTGGAAAGAGTTACAGTGTCCTAGAAATTCATTAAGATGTTCTTGTGAATCTGTCCATTTGAAATCAATATCGTCAATGAATCGGAACCATGATAAGGGCTGGTATGGAGCACTAGCCAAGAGGCGTTTTTCAAGTTGGCCCATAAATATGTTGGCATATGACGGGGCCATTTTTGTGCCCATACTAGTACCGTCTATCTGGAGATAATGTTTTTCATTGAAAAAGAAGTTGTTGTTCTCTAGCACTAGTTTCAGAAGTGTAACAAGGCACTCAGTTGGAGGATTTTTTTCACTACGAGTGTTCCATACCTCTTCACACGCTGCTATTCCTTCGTCTTGTGGAATGTTGGTATATAAAGAAGACACGTCCATGGATGCAAGTATAGTATTGCTTGGTAGAGTATTGAGGCTTTCCATTTTCTTTAGATAATCAGTCGTATCTTGGATGTAAGAGGGTAGTTCTTTCACATGAGGTCTTAGATGATGGTCTACAAATTCTGATATCTTTTCAGTTGGATGACTACTTGCTGAAACAATTGGTCGACCTGGATTGCCCGTTTCATGTATTTTAGGCAACACATAGAATCTTCCGGCCTTTGCTTCGTTCTCAAGAGGTCGGAGATAATCAAAGGTGTCATTGTCTATATGCTTTTTGTCGAACATCTCTTGAAGGATGGTGTTGATCCTTCGAATAGTATTTAGTGTTGGATCTGTGGTTAATTGTTTATAAAAAATGGAGTTTGAAAGTTGGCGATTTCCCTCTGCTATGTAATCTGTTTTATTCATGACAACCACAGCGCCCCCTTTGTCGGCAGGTTTTATTACAATATCCTCTTGATCTTTTAACGCTTTCAAAGCAATGCTTTCTGACTTGGATAAATTATAATTTCTTGTATTTGTTATACAGGACTTTATATCAGACCTCACATAGTTAATGAATGACTCCAAGTTATCGTTTTTACTCTTAGGTGGTTTCCATGAACTTTTTTTCTTAAATTTTGGGATGGGCGTGACTTCTTCATTGGTGTCAGTATCTGAATCTGTTAATCCAGCTTCTTCAAGGTTTTTCTTGCCCCTATTGTAGAAAAAATCTTTCAAGCGTAAACGTCTAGCGAATTGGTCTAAGTCCTCGTCTAGCTGAAAGTTATTAACATTTGATGGGATAGGACAGAAGTTTAAACATTTACTTAAAAGAGATTCTTCAGCACGTGTAAGTTCTTTAGATGACAAATTTACAACAATGCTTTCAGTTTTTTGTTTCCGTCTTTTGAATTTTCTTCTTCTAGGGACCTTATGGTTTGTTGTATTGATATCATTCATATCCTGATTTTAATAGACAGTGTGAATTTTATCTCTTTGAAATTTATTCCTTTGTTTTTCTTTATGTTTGGATAGTTCAATTTTTTCATTTTTTTCAATATCTGCGAGGCGACGTTTAATTATTGGTAAATCGTCACGTGAAATGTTACTATTGTTGATGATATCTGATATTTCATTTACAATTTGTTTGTAATTTGTGGTTGTAAAAGAAAGTAACAGTTGAAGTAGCTGGATTGAACAGTTACACAGAATTTCATTCCAACGGCTCATGAATCTTTTGGATTTATGTCCCGGTGCCTGGGGACTCATTTTGATGTTTAAACCTTTTGGTACAGTTCTACGTTGAATATATTTTTTTAAGTTTGATAAATGATGTTCAGTTTGTAGTTTCTTTTTAGTTAAAGATCTTAATTTCTTGAAATGCAGTGCGCTATCCATGTTGTAAAGATAGCGATAGATTTGAATGGATTACACAAACATTTGTGAAATGCGTGCTACTGAAGATAATAATATAAGTGCCTATAAATAGCAGCACATGACATACAAATCTATGGGAGTGTGGATTAATCAGTACAGAGATAAATTCAATTACACAAATAAATTATAGATTGCCTAACAATGTAATTTTAACACACTATTTAGTATGTAAATATAAGAATGTTTAAAATATTTACAAAATGATGAAAATAAACGCAATATTTCGCTAGACTAACTAGCTTTATCAAGCGTGCATCTATCCAGGTGAAATCGGATGTAGATGATAAGAAACTTTTGCAGCTCAATGTATATGTTGCACTTGAATTTAGCTGCCTTGAAAATAATACATAATTTGGATGAAGTTCAAGATTTTTACAAAATTGGTAGTTGAAGTTAGCAACGTCCATTGGCTAATATTACAGGATAAAAAGGACGATGCTGTGTACTAAATTATTCTTTATCTTTCCTGTATCTTTTCTCATCTTTTTCGTTAAGACCATCAGATTCTAAAGTGTAGAGTTGGTGCATCCAAAAATTTTCTCTTCTCCTTCTCGCCGTGGTGTCCCACTCGGTGTTGACTTCTATGATTTGGAAGGTAACATTATCAAAAGAATGTTTCGTTGAACGAAGATGTCTTGTGAGAGGACAGTTTTTGTTGGTTTTGTACCATGAACGATGGTTATTGAGCCGAATATTAAATTTGTCCATTGTTTCTCCCACATACTGAATGCCACATGTGTCACATGTTAATATATAAATTGAGTTCTCCGTTTTACAGTTGGAATTTGAGTAGATGGTATAATTTTGTTTAGTAGCGGAGCTGATGAAAGAACTGCTTCTATTGGCAGCTTTACAACACAAGCAGTTCCTTCGACCACATTGTTTGTAGCAACCGGGAGATGGAGTAGGCTGCCTTGCTAATACAGATGTCACTAATTTGTCACGGATGTTTTTAGGTCTTCTGAAGGCCATGACTGGTGGTGAGGAAAATACTTTTTTAAGATTTGAATCATTTTCTATAATTTTCCAATGCTTCTGAACAATGGAAGACACATTTTTAAAATCAGGATGGTAAGTGAGTACAAGGGGTGTTCTGTTAGCTGCTTTATTCT